GTGTGTGTGTGTGTGTGTGTGTGTGTGTGTGTGTGTGTGTGTGTGTGTGTGTGTGTGGCAGCAGTTTTGAGGAGATCACGGAGGCGGAGTGTGAGAGTTGGGATTTTGGAGCTGAGCTCATCATTGCTGAGAGGCAGGCTGCTAGGTCTACTGCGTTTCACCTCATCGTACACACACCTCCACGCTACATCAGCCCCTCCCCCCCACCCCCTCACACACACACCTGCATGCACTGGTGTGCGTTATACTTGAAGTGAACATCTGGCAGTACCACTGGGGGCTGCACAGCACGTATGTTAACAGGTTAAAAAAAATAAAAGATGCCTGGAGCTATGCCAGTGTTAACATTTCTGAGCCCCATGGGATCTTTTTTTTAAAAAAAATACGAATAACACATCTTGGCTATGAAGAAGCTTTAAAAAATTCAAAATGCCAGCTACTTCTACCAAATATAAGAAAACATGAGCGCAAGAGACGAAATTTCACAGCTTTAATTCTGTTCCGTGGGGCAGCAGTGTTAGACTCACGTGATTTCCTCAGCAGATTGCAACGGAATTATATTTTCAACCTCAGTTAGCGCATTTGTATGCACAAAAAATCCTGCAATCCTTCCCACATACATAGGGGGAAAAAAACGAAAAATAAAACATTGCCGCAGCCGAGTGTTACATCCACCCGCTTGCACGCACGTATACACTAAAGAATACATCTGAATAGGTTTAAGATGAAGAGATGCCTGAGTTGATAATCATGACACCCACTGATCTCGATCAAAAGCATTCATCACTCAATTATACTTTACTTTATATTCAAGACCAGAAAGATGTGACTGAGTCTGTGGACTAATAATATGCCAACTGTTGAAAATCTAGTAGAAACATAACCTTTAGCCAAAGCATCTGAAGTAAAATGAAAAGGCGATGAAAATAAGTTTGAAGTAAAACCACTTTACAAATGTAATAATATGACCAGTGTCTTTAATATCTACATCAATAACTCAGCAGCATCCCATTGATACACAGTCATCCTCCTTAGAAGTACTTCATGCACTAAGTCCAAGTGTCTCATCACACCAGCTGACTTAAAATAAGTATTTAAATGACTTGTGTTTTATACATTTCTGGTTATTTTTAATTAAATGTTTGAACAATCAAAGTATACTGAATGGACAAGGAAAAAAAACAATACATTTGTCTTCTAGCTTCTCTGTGTTGTTTCTTTTTCTTGTTTTTCAAGGGGCAAAAAGGGGATGATAACATGTCTACCCATCTATTCTATGTCTATCTATCTTTAAACCCTCCTGTGTCTTTCTTCTCAGTTAAAAGTTTTGAGTTTCTTTTCAAAGTGAGCCCTGAAATACTTAATATGTCATTTTTTGATGGTTTCAGTTTCATTTACTTCCCAATGATAGTAATAAAAATAATATATTTAGGGTACAGCATCCATTTGGTTGGTAAAGATGTAATCATGCAGCTTTAGTACATTAAAAAATGGCCTTGGCAGTGTTTTAGTGGTGGTTCCAGAAGGAGGTGAGACCATGACTCATCATCTTACCTCATTCTAAAAGTTCGCCCAGGGAGTCAAACCAGTGAGCAGCACACCTCTAGTTCAAAGCTCCACTTCACCAAATCCAGTTTCCCAAATGAGCACCAAGAAATTATAATTCGTGTCTTTACAGGAGAGGAAGGACAGTAGTAGCAAGTTTGCAGCACTTTCACGCTGTCTCCTAGTATTGCCTTGAATCTGCATGAATATTTCAGCAGTTAACCTGCCTTGCACTCCCTGTTTCTCAATTATTGACTGGAAGCTCTTATCAATGTGATAAGAGCCCCCAGTCCTCGCAGATGAGTGGGCACACATCTTATCAATGTGTGCCTACACTTTGTTGTGAAATACCAGACAAAAAACAAAAAGAAACTGCATTGCATTTAAAAAAAATCACACCTTTACCCAAAGTTGCATTATTTGTTGTTGTATCAAAAAATGTGCTGCAGCGTTAGCTCTCAGGTAGCAAGGACCTGCCAGGTTTATATGTGTGGAGTGTCCAAGGGGAGAGATGTGCTGACAGCAAAGATGATTCCTGTTTGTTTAAGGAACTCGGTGATGGTGGGGAATAATGCCTCTCATTCAGCCATAATTACTAGGAATTCCTACTGGGAGTAGGAATGGTTTTCCTTTAAAGGGGCATATTATGCTTTTCCTTTTTTTCTGTCATGCAGTATATGCTGTATATTTTTTAGTGGATACTCATATTAAACATCAAACAAGTTTCAAAAAGCTGCAGACTGCTCTAAACACTTAGTTTCACAGGTCTTTTTTTTCTTTTGGTTCCATGTGATGTCAGTGAGTGGACAGTGTTAATTTGGTCATCTCAGACCTGCTGTTCAGACCTTTTTTCAGCCAATCAGGAGAAAGTTTAAGTTTAATCTGAGCTAAAACAGCTTGTCTCACGGAGTAGGTGAACATCGGAGGATCAGTACAGAATAAACAAGGTTAATTCTGAACTGTGAATGCAAAAGCAATTTTATACTAGCCATTCTCTTCCACTTATCCATATCAGGGTCACAGGGGGGCTATCCCCCTATCCCTATCCCAACTTGCCAGCCAGACAGAGGGCGAACACAAAGAGACAGACAACTATTCACACTGAAATTTACACCTATGAGCAATTTAGCAATCACCAGTTAACCTAACCCTCACTAACTCCATGGCTTGGGACTGTGGGAGGAAGCTGGAGTACCCGGAGAGAACCCACACAAACATGGGGAGAACACATCCACACAGAAAGGCCCTAACCAGATGTTGAGATGAACCCAGGATCTTCTTGCTGTGAGGCAACAGTGCTAATGGTCCCACCACGCTGCCCTCTAGTAGAGTCAAAGAATAAAATCGTGGAGTTGCAAATGAGCACAATAGACCCCCCTTTAAGAGATTTGAACAATGAAGTTCTTAAATGATATTTTGCAAGAGATAGCAGTTAAAGGGGCTGAGAGTCTGACGTGTCCTAATGACAACTTTTCAGCCACAGCCCAGAGAGATGAGCTTATTCCAGCACTTGTAGAGCTGTCAGACTGTGATGTCTTTTTGCAAACACAAACACAGCATCTGTAAGTGCAGCATTTTAATAACTGAATAAATGACGCAGAGAAACATAAAAAGAAACGAGGTTACAAAATCCCGAATTTATGTCTCATGAACTTAATGGGAAGCAATCGCATCAAGTGCATAAAATCCACTGCACCTTGTAGTCACTTAGAAAGCCTTTTTTCTTAATTTTACATGGTGTAACATATTAAACAGTTGCCCTTGCTTTTAAAGAGTCAACCTTGTTCATATGAAAATTACTTGTTTAGCTCTTTACTGGTTAAACAGTGTCTTAACATGCATCAAAAAGAGAAAAAAAAAACTTTGTCTGTTCTACTTCTGTTTGCCTTTTGTTTTCTTTCTGAGTCTCAATGCTTTTATGACTAATGGTTATCTGTCTCTGTGAAATTGTTGACACTGTAGAGTTAGTGAGGAGAAATACGTCAGTGCTTAATCTTTGCCTCCAGTTGTGTTGCAAACTGTCAGTGCCGCTTCATCACAAACATCCAATTATACTGACGTTTACCTTTTATAAAACTGGGACACATTTAGGACTCATTCAGCGTGATGGATTTCCTCGACGAGCCCCTCTGTTTGTCTGTTTGGTGAGGTAGTGATAGTGTTAGGTAATTGCCTCTTAGGTGTTTTCTGATTTACCTCTGTGGAAGCCTCGAGCACAGCCTGGCTGACTGTTGTCTAGTTTAGAGTACAGTGGGGGAAATAATTATCTGATTCCTTGCTGAATTTGTATGTTTGCTCAATTGCAAAGAAATGAACAGTCCTTGGTGACATCGGTGTGATCATTGGGAAATGGAACAAATATAAATTGATCATCAGTGCAAGATTTTGCCTCATGGGATGAGGATGATCAGGAGAAAGGTGGTGGATCATCTAGAACTACACAGGAGGAGCTTGTTAATGATCTGAAGGCAGTTTGGACCACATTCACCAAAATCTTATCTCATAAGGGTGCAGGAACACTTCACTACATTGAGGCCCAATGGATGGAGCTGTGTACTGTAAAATCTTGGAAGAGAACCTCCTTCCGTCAGCCAGAACACTGAAGATGTGTCATGGGTGGGTCTATCAGCATGACGACAACCAAAAACATACCACCAAGGCAATAAAGGAGCGGCTAAAGAAGAAGCACATTATGTTCATGTAGTGGCTTATACAAAGTCTGTGGAGGGAGCTAATGGTTCAAGCTGCCACGGGGCAGGTAAGAAAGGATTTAGCTTGGAAAGACAAGCGTCTGGATTTCTTTAGGTTTCTTCAAGATGTTTCACCTCTCATCTGAGAAGCTTCTTCAGTTCTAAGAGCAACTGGTGAAGAGTCACAGATTAAGCCCTATGGGAGTG